TGGATGGCTTCAAGAGGGAATGAGATGAACATCTGGAGCAGAGTTTTTGGGCAGCGATGCTCTGTTTTCTTGGCACTTTGGGGGGGCACAGTGGGAGGGCTTCTGGAGTTCTGGCCCCACTGCTGGACCTCCTGATGGCACCTGAGTTTTGGCCGCTGTGCGACACAGAGGGTTTGAGTCGATGGGCCATGGGCCTGATCCAGCATGGGTTCTCTTACATTCTTATGTTCTTAAGTAAAAAGCAAAATATGATAAAAGGTCATAAAAGAAAATTAAAACCAAAAGTAAAGTACACCTAAAAACACACCAAAAAAGCAGTTAAAGCATAGGGCAGGAAGGAAGAAGAGGAGATTGGATTTATATCCCGCCCTTCACTACCCAAAGGTGTCTCAGAGCGGCTTACAAACTCCTTTCCCTCCACCTCGACACCACAGACACCCTGTGAGGGAGGTTGGGCTGAGAGAGTTCGCTCAAGACAGCTCACAATCTCCTTTCCCTTGCCCTCCCCACAACAGACACCCTATGTGTCTCTCTCAAGGACTGCCCTTGAGAAAGCAGCTCTGAGAGAACTTGTGACTGATCCGAGGTCACACCAGCAGCTGCACGTGGCGGAGTGGGGGGATCCAACCCGGATTCTCTCAGATTAGAGTCTGCGCTCCCCACCACTACACCAAACTGGCTCTAAAAACACAATTGGCTCTAGAAATACTATTCTAAAAATACCTGATACCCACATGGTGCTGTAATACAAATCTAACCCCTAATTTACTTTACTATAACAGCGGGGTCTGTGCGTTATTGAAAGCAGTTAGTGGACCAAATGTCTGTTGGCAACCGTTGACCAGGGCTATTTTTGGGCAGGAACGCACTGGAACGGAGTTCCGGCTGGATTTAGAGTTGGCCACGCCCACTACAGCCAAAACCTCTCTGTGCGTGGCTACAGACGGAAGGCCAGGAGCGCGCCACCCCCCTATTGGGGAGGCATTTAAATGCCTCCCCGTGCCTTCCCTTCTCTTCAAGGGGGGGGGCTTGCCCAGGCAAGCCAAGTGAAGGCATGGGGTGTGGCCTAATATGCTAATGAGCTGTGCGGTCAGGGGTTGTGGCCTAATAGGCTAATGAGTCTCTGATGCTGGGTGTGGCCTATTATGCTAATGAGTTGATGTTAAAAACCGTCGCTGTCCTCAGCTGAATGCTCAGCGGAACATCTCTGGCTTGCAGGCCCTGTGGGATTGTAACCGATCCCGCAGAGCCCTGATTTTGGTAGGCAGAGTTCCACCAAGAAGGCCCTGGCTCTGTTTGAGGACAGCCGGACGCACTTTGGGCCAGGGACTTCCAACAGACGCCGACCCTTGAGCATAAGCCTCTCTGGGGGACATACCAGGAGATGCGGTTGCATTATGCAAGTGTGAGTACACACCTCTTTACTCCCTAGCCCAGTGGTGGCGAACCTATGGCACGGGTGCCAGAGGTGGCACTCAGAGCCCTCTCTGTGAGCACGCGTGCCATCGCCCCAGCCAGGCCCAGACCGTCATTAAAGTGTCGAATTCTCTGCCAAATAATTTTAAGTCAATGAAAGCATTTGGGATTGCTTTCCTTACTTTGTTTGGATCATCTTAAATTAATGTATGAGTTGTTTTCTTCTAAAGTAAAACCTCAGTATTCAGGTTAAATTGCTGTGTTGGCACTTTGCAATAAGTAAGTGGGTTTTGGGTCGCAGTTTGGGCACTCTCGGTCTCTAAAAGGTTCGCCATCACTGCCCTAGACCCAGGTGTCTCTGGGCTGCAAATTGCCTATTCCGTCATCCCTCCGGCATTTCATGACGGACCCTCCTTTGCCTATGTTTCAGCAGTTCTGGAGACAAGGGAGGCGAAGGGGGATGGTGGGGCGCTATCTGGCTATAAGCCCAGGGCCTGGACAGCTGGGCTGCTACTGTCAGAATTGTCACTTGGCTGCGTAGCAGTACACACACACACACAACCTTTATTGGCATGAAAGCACAAAGCGTCATGGAAATACGGGAAAATACTAAGATGCATCAGTCACTGACACTTGGCTATTCAAGCCTCGTCTTCTGATTGCGTAATATAAAATTTTTGCAACAGCCTCCATTATTTCACAATTAGAATTAAACAGAAGAACGTGAACAACTGAGTCATCAGAGCGCCCGCTCTTACCCTCTAGAAATGGGGTAATAAAATGAGATCGGGTATCCCTATAGAGGGGGCAATGAAGTATGGTGTGTGTAGTGGATTCTATAGCAGTAGATCCCTGCAGCAGGTTGTCAGTCATTGGCTGTGAGCTGGGACCTCCTTCGCCTGCCTGTTCCTCTTTCCAGGGTTAGCAGAGCTTGGCTGATCCATGACACAGAGCTTCAAACGTCAGCGCCAGTACCTCGAATTGGGCACGGAAACAAATTGGGAGCTGGTTTAGACGGATCGAGGCAGGGGAGATACAGTTCCTAAGACCTGTCAGCAGCATCTTGTACAGAAACCTGTCTGTAGTATGTTGTACCAGCTGAAGTTTCCAAAGACACGGCTGTCTTCTTTCCCGTTTTATCCTTACAACAATCCTGTGAGGTAGGTTACGTGTGAGAGCGACTGAATCGTGGCAGTGTGGGGATTTGAACCCAGCTCCTAATCTGACCACTCCTCCGTAGGGATGGGCGGGAAAATGCAGTTCAGGGTTCGTGGTGTGCCCCGTTCGTGAATCACGAACCGCCACGAACTTCTAGCGGCCAAATGAACCGGTTCGGTTCATGAAGTTCATGGCCGGAAACAAATTGGGAGCCGGTTTAGATGGATCGAGACAGGAGAGATACGGTTCCTAAGACCTGTCAGCAGCATCATGCACAGAAACCTGTCTGTAGTATGTTGTACCAGCTGAAGTTTCCAAAGACACGGCTGTCTCCTTTCCCGTTTTATCCTCACAACAATCCTGTGAGGTAGGTTACGTGTGAGAGCGACTGAATCGTGGCAGTGTGGGGATTTGAACCCAGCTCCTAATCTGACCACTCCTCCGTAGGGATGGGCGGGAAAATGCAGTTCAGGGTTCGTGGTGTGCCCCGTTCGTGAATCACGAACCGCCACGAACTTCTAGCGGCCAAATGAACCGGTTCGGTTCATGAAGTTCATGGCCCAGTAGAATGGACCTTGTGCAGGCTAAAGACACCGAACTCACAGAGGATCTCCGGCTGAATCTCCCCTACCTGCCCTCCAGGTTTGGGGTCCGAAACAGACTCTGCAAACGGTCCGGTTCTTAAAACAGTTGACGGGACATCAAAACCAGATATTAGACTCAACATTCAGGAGAAAACGGCACATTCGGGTTTCTAACAAGTTGGGCCCAAGTTCCCCAGACCCAACTTGGGTTCCCTACAGCCACAAAGACGTTGCTGGGAATGGCTTTCAAAGAATAGGTAAAAGGTAAAGGTAAAGGTCTCCCTTGCTCGAAAGCCAGTCGAGTCCGACTCTAGGGTTGCGGTGCTCATCTCCGTTTCCAAGCCGAAGAGCCAGCGCTGTCCGAAGACGTTTCCGTGGTCATGTGGCCGGCATGACTAAACACCGAGGCGCACGGAACGCTGTTACCTTCCCACCGGAGTGGTACCTATTTATCTACTTGCAATTTCTTGCTTTCGAACTGCTAGGTTGGCAGGAGTCAAAGAACAGAGGGGAGCTCAAAAGGGCTCAGACTACCACAATAGGAAGAGCTCCTGTCTCCCCCTAAGCCAGACATGTCAAACATATGGCCCAGGGGGCAGAATATGCTCATCCAGGGCTCTTATCCGACCCGCGAGCAACTGGGGAGAAAACAGTCCAAATGTGGACTAGAAGGGCCTATATTAGAGTATTATACCCCCTACTGAGGGACCGGCCTCCCCCGAGGTCTTTCCCCAGATCTCCAGAACATGCAAGATCCAGGTTTGGGCACACGAGTTCAATTTCTACCCTTGGCTCTCCCTTCTGAATGGCAAGATTTCCCACGTATTCCCCTCACGGAACTGGTTTTGAACATTCCTTCCCGGTTCCCCAGGCTTTGAGACACGCAGTTGAGCTAGTTGAACATACCCAGTCAGTCAGCGGTTTCCAGTCTTTTTAACCCTGTGGCCATGTTTGGAATTTTGAGAAGGGGTGGGTGGGGAGCAGCATCCCAAAACGGCGGCCCGAGAAGGTGGAGCCAGACCGAAATGGCTGCCCCAGGAGGTGGAGCCAAACAGAAAACCTCCCTCCTCACGCTTCCTGGAAAGACAGAAAGCCTGAAGGCCAGGCAGGAGTCATTCCCTGCAGGAGCGCACAGGAGCAGAGCTCCGGCAGTAAAGAGCCCCGGGGGTGGGCACATGCAACAAGCCCCGCCCCCTGCTCCCAGCAGCCCTCAGTCAGAGCAAGAAGCAGCCAGGTAAGTTGCAGAGCTCCCCCCGGCCAAGGCGCACGGAATGCGGTCCCTATTTATCTACTTGCAATTTCTTGCTTTCGGCAGGAGCCGGAACCAGACGGGAGCTCACTCTGCCATGCGGCACTCGGGTCTCGAACTGCTGAGCTACCGACCTTCCGGTCTGCAGTTCATCATCTTAACCACTTGTGCCACCACACGTTGGAGGATAGGGCACCCCAATCTCTTGCATTTGCCTTGTCAGGCACTCGGGTCTCGAACTGCTGAACTACCGACCTTCCGGTCTGCAGTTCATCATCTTAACCACTTGCGCCACCACACGTTGGGGAATAAGGCACCCCAATCTCTTGCATTTGCCCTGTCAGGTATGTGCACAGCTTGCCATGCTTGGTACCGTGTTTAGAGGATCCTGGGAAATGAGGCTTGAGGGCCATCGGCTGCTCTGGATCCGGGATGGTGTGGTAGGGAGGGGAGCGCAGACGGCCCCCTCCTCCTCTGTTCAAAGAAAAAAAAATCACAAACGCTCAAAGAAGAAGGAATCCCAGAAGCCATTTACACTCAGCAAAAGATCCAGCACCAATCGGATCGACCCACTTTTATTATTACAACCATATTCAAATAAGGCTGGACATGTTTCGTGCGGGCGACGCACTCGTCTCGGCGGCTGGCTCCGTCGCGGGAGGCCGGGGGTTGGCTCCCACAGGCTGGTCTTGGCCTACGAAAGCGGGTTCCTGGGATGCAGCGCCGGCCGTTCCCTCAGGAGTCCTGCAAGCGAAAGAGAGGCCGTCATTCCACAGAGGCAGGACTGCTCCGGAAGCAGGGTTGCCAACGCTGAGGTGGGAAATTCCTGGAGATTTGGGGGTGGCGCCGGGGGAGAGCAGAGCTGGGGGAGGCGGCTCAGCAGAGCACGATGCCGGAGCGCCCACCCTCCAAAGTCCAGGCCGAACTGAGCTCTGTCAACTGGGGAGCATTTGTAATTCCCGGTGATCTCCAGGCCCCACCAGCAGGTTGGCAATCGTATTCCTCGGCAGGTAACAATGGCAACATTAGATATTTGTTATGGAATTTCAGGAGGCTGCCGTGTCAGTTGGTGAGTCATGGGGCTGTCTGTGGCCTTATTCTGCTTTCAAAGGCTGGTCTTGAGGGGAAGGGCTGTGGCTCTGTGGAAGAGCCTCTACTTGGCATACAGAAGGTCCCAGGTTCAATCCCTGGGATCTCAAGCTAAAAGGACCAGGCAGGTGGTGATGGGAAAGACCTCTGCCTGGGACCTTGGAGAGACATAGACAGGGACTGTGGCTCAGTCGCAGAGCCTCTGCTTGCCATGCAGAAGGTCCCAGGTTCAATCCCCGGCATCTCCAGTTAAAAGGACCAGGCAGGTGGTGATGGGAAAGACCTCTACCTGAGACCTTAGAGAGACATAGACAGGGGATGTGGCTCAGTGGCAGAGCATCTGCTTGGCATGCAGAAGGTCCCAGGTTCAATCCCCGGCATCTCCAGCTAAAAGGACCAGGCAGGTGGTGATGTGAAAGACCTCTACCTGAGACCCTGGAGAGACATAGACAGGGATTGTGGCTCAGTGGCAGAGCCTCTGCTTGCCATGCAGAAGGTCCCAGGTTCAATCCCCGGCATCTCCAGCTAAAAGGACCAGGCTGTAGATGAGATGAAAGACCTTTGCTTGAGATCCTGGAGAGCTGCTGCCAGTCTGAATAGACAGCAGTAAATTATCATACAGAGACAAGAGTTAAACAGATGTGAGAACGAAGCTTGAATCCAGCGGCACCTCTAAGACCACCAAAGTTCAATGCTGGGTATAAGCGGGAACTCCTGTATTTGCATGCTAATCTACTGCTATTCACAGATCTTACCAACCAAGTGGGCGTCAACATGGCAAATGGGGTTCAGTGTGGCCAAGTGCAAAGTGATGCACATTGGAGCCAAAAATCCTGAATATAAATACACATTGATGGGGTCTGAACTGGCAGAGACTGATCAGCTGGAGTTGTAGTAGATAACTCACTGAAAATGTTGAGACAGTGTGTGACTGCAATAAAGAAGGCCAATGCTATGCTGGGGATTATTAGGAAGGGTATTGAAAACAGATCAGCCAATAATGCCCCTATATAAATCAATGGTGCGACCTCATTTGGAGTACTGTGTGCAGTTCTGGTCACCACACCTTAAAAAGGATATTATAGCTTTGGAAAAAGTGCAGAAAAGGGCAACTCGAATGATAAAAGGGCTGGAACACTTTCCCTATAAGGAATTCACTGCCACAGGAAGTGGTGGTGGCTACAAGCATGGACGGCTTCAAAAGGGAATTAGATAAGCATATGGAGCAGAGGTCCCTCAGTGGCTCTCAGCCACCAGGTATAGATATGGGCTCTGGGGCAAGGGATGCTCTGTCTTCTTGGTGCTTGGGGGGGTGGGGGCAACAGTGGGAGGGCTTCTGGTGTCCTGGCCCCACTGGTGGACCTCCTGATGGCACCTGGTATTTCTGGCCACTGTGTGACACAGAGTGTTGGACTGGATGGGCCTTTGGCCTGATCCAACATTGGCGTCTCTTATGTTCACTTATGTTAGATGCCAACATCTGCCATGCAGAGTAAATAGACACAGGGGGAAACCTAGTAGCAAACGGGTTTGCTACAGGCCAGGAACAGACGTTCCCCAGTGTGATCGCAGCAGCGTGCTTCCATGGCGTTGGGATGGTCTGATTGGGCCATCCCAACTTTGTGACGTGGTCCCCCCCCCCCTTTTGGTATGCGCATCATTGCACACTCCACAGGGAGCACTCGGTGCGGAGATGCAATTAACCTATCCCTCATTGAAGTGCACTGGAGATACACGCCCCCCCCCCAAAAAAAACCCAAGTCACCGGCGGTTGCGTCTGATCACACAGTGGCAGGCCGCCCCCCGCAGCTCCCAGGGATTCTGTGATCACACAAATGCGGGTCATATTCCTGCAGAGCAAACAGCCTCGCTTTCTGCCACCCCCGCATTATCTCGCGCGTGTGGACGCTGCCACGGCTACCCACCTGAATCTGTGCTCAAAGGAAGGTACGAGTTTCTCAGAGCTCATTCTGTGCTTGCTACTAAATGTGTTTGCCAACTGACTGGAAAGCCACAGAATCTCAGCTAACAATAAACTGGGAATGTTTCTCTCTTCCTCCTGACATGTGATGGTGTCCCATCATGAAAATCACCACGATTGGACCCTGAAAATGCATTGAAGTGTGTGGGGAGGAATCTCATTGGAAGATTAAACTTAAGAACATTGGAAGTGCCCTGCTGGATCAGACCAATGGTCCATCTAGTCCAGCTTCCTGTCTCACACAGTGGCCAAACAGTTCCTCTGGAGGGCCAACGACAGGGCAGAGAGGCCGAGGCCTTCTCCTGATAAGAACATCAGAAAAGCCCTGCTGGATCAGACCAGTGGTCCCTCTAGTCCAGCATCCTGCCTCACACAGGGGCCGACCAGTTCCTCTGGAGGGCCAACAACAGGGCAGAGAGCCTAAGGCCTTCCCCTGACAAGAACAGAAGAAGAGCCCTGCTGGATCAGACCAGTGGTCTCTCTAGTCCAGCCTCCTGTCTCACCCAGTGACCAACCAGTTCCTCTGGAGGGCCAGCAACAGGGCAGAGAGGCCAAGGCCTCCCCCTGACAAGAACTTCAGAAGAGCCCTGCTGGATCAGACCAGTGGTCCCTCTAGTCCAGCATCCTGTCTCACACAGTGGCCAACCGGTTCCTCTGAAGGGCCAGCAACAGGGCAGAGAGGCTGAGGCCTTCTCCTGATAAGGACATCAGAAGAGTCCTGCTGGATCAGAGCAGCAGTCCATCTAGTCCAGCACCCCGTCTCTCACATGCTGGCCAGCCAGTTCCTCTAGAGGTCCAACAACACGGCATAGATGCCAAGGCCATCGCCTGATGTTGCCTCCTGGCAGTGAGATTCAGAGATTGGCTGTCTCTGAACATGGAGGTTCTGTTCAGTCGCCATGGCTAGGGGCCTCCGATAGACCTCTCTTCCATGAATCTGCCCAATCCCCTTCCAAAGCCATCTATGCCTCTGCCTTCTCTGGCCACGGATTCCAGATTCGAATCACTCTCTGTTTAGAGAAGTATCTCCTTGGGTCCGATTCAGATTGGGTGGCGCGGATGGACAATCTGAAACCGAAGCGCCTTTTGATTCAACGTTTCTATGTTCCTGTAAAATATTTATCTCCTGCCTTAGTTTCTTTGGACTCAATGCAACCAGTCATTCGTCCCTAGAAGATTCTGAGTTTGACCTGGATCCCAGCTGTTATTTATGGGCATGGATGCTCAGGATGTGGATTTTTTTTCCAGCCAGGAAGAAAGCTTTAACCCCCCCCTCAAATACCACCCCCCCTACACAATCCAGCGTTCCCTGGTAGCCCGCGCACACTGTATTCTCGACCTCTTTAATCGCTGAGCAAGAAGGATGCTAATGGAGTCTCCCTGGAGCACCGGCCACTTTTGATATTGCGCTTAGATGTGCATGTGGAAGCGTGAGCGGCGCTAGCTTAATGCTACATGACAGCTCAGCGGTT